AGCAGATGCTTTTCAGTTGGCTTTCTGCATAATGCTCGAGGACACTTCAAATCCAAACCCAGGCGCCAAACCTCTGACCTTTCAGTATCAGGACAGTCTCCCCAAGCCCCAGATCGCCCTTCGTCATGACATTTAACACAGTAAGGGAACAGCTGGGGTCAGAGGGGACACAACAAGCAGGGAGGAGCGGATCAAAAACGCAAACTTATGTCTTCTGCGTCTCACTTTTTACACAAATCCAAACCGTGAGAGAACGTGGGAAGACGTTGTTCACGAGGAGACAACAGCAACGTGCTTTCTGAGGACCCTTCATGCAGCCTCTTACTAACTTTCATCAAATTTAGCTCCAGAATCTAATATTTAATAAACAATTAAAACATCAGCGGTGTCAGATAAAGGTTCCTGCTCTAGAGAGGACCTTATCTTGGCTTTTCCACAAACAGCCCAGGCCAGCGAGCAACTTGCTGCTCTGAATCCTTCTGAAGGGAGACATTTTGTTACCGCGTTTCCATACACCATCATAACCAGGTGAACAGAAGCTGAACACCAAAGCAGACACATCCTGTCGTTTCCTCTGAACACCTGAGCAAAACCAGCCTTCTCATTCACTTCTATGTGACTGAATTTGCTGACAGGGTCGTTGTGAACAGTTATCTCTACGCTGAGCAGAGGCGCAGCGACGAGCTGTAACGTAAAGCTGATGTAGTTCGACAACATCTGGTCTAAAATCCATACGCCATGATTAAAGCTGGTCTCCATATGGCTATGAATCAGAAACATAAGGCCAATAACAACGTCAAGGACACGACCAAACCTGCAGTGCGTTTCTGGCTTTGTCCACTCAGCTTTGGGCTCTAGAATGAATTACACTCTTGAGATTTCAGTCAATATGCAAGTATTATGGTGTGGTCAAGCAGGAAAAGGGAATAGAAGCATAAAGTTCAGGTGAAGGCCTCAACTCCTCTCCAGATAATTAGAGAAATGATGACAATTCCCAACTAAATGTATTTTTCACGTTATGAAAGCATAATCTAGCTCAGTTGTGGGTTTCATCCTGTTTGAGAACTTCCTGTCACCTTTATTGGTTTATTGTGTGTGTGTGTGTTTGTGTGGACAGCTGTGTGAGCCTGAGGGATGGATTTAAGGATGGACAGGACTACTGCGCTCCTGAATCCCTGAGAGGAAAACAAACACGGGCCTGCCTGCTTGCGCAAAGGCAGCGACGTGAACGTGATGCTTCATCTCCAGACCTCCATGAGGAGGAGAGGAGGCATCTTCAATTACCTGAAATCACTGTAGGGGTGAATTATCCAAAACCCGGCGGATTTAACTCGCTCCTGCTCCCGCTCCACCGCCTTCTCGCTCCCAAACATCCTCAGGGAGAACTTGTTGACCCCCGGTTGGAGCATCGCCCCCAGCTGTCGGTGGATGAACCCAGCTTGGTATAGTCTCTCGTCGTCCGGCAGAATTTGATCGATGCCCTCCAACTTTATGAAGCCAGCCTGCTGCTCTGGAGCGTTGGCTTGGGCGCCACCGCTGGCACCCTGCACACCTTGCTCCGGCTGGTCGTCCGCGATAGCTCCAGGGGGGCTCTCCTCGCTCGGGGTGACATCCCCCTCAGTAATCAGGCGTCTTGCCTCGGCCGAGTCCGAGTCGTGCACATGCCGACTCGTGATAGACGAGAGGCTGCCTCGAAATCTCCGACAGTCTCCATTGGAGCTAGTCTTCATCGGTCTCCCGATGTCCATCTCCATGATCACACACTCCCCACTTTTGGTCTCGCTGATGCCTTTGCAGCTCACCCCAGAGGTCGGCGACGGCAGAGGCTTCATCCTGATGCTCTTCCTCCGGGTGTCCTTGTCTGCGTCTTCTCCATCGCCCATGATGGATGTTTTTTGTCCAATGTGCTGTGGCAAACTGTAGAGCCTTTTACGCATGGAGGATTGCAACCTGTCCATTATGACATTGAGACACAGGGGAGAAAATCAAACGAATCCAGGCTGTATTGTAACGATCATTGCCACCATCCCCGCGCCCCGTATCTGTTTGTGAGAGCGATCAGTGAGGAGCTAATCTGAATCCCTGAAATCCTGCTACACATGACACGAAGCGCCGAGACTCCTCCGACACGGACGAGAGACGCTCGTTCTGACAATCAGACTACCTGACAGTTCGCCTATGTCCTCACGAGCAGCCTGGGCGGTCCGCTTGGCCGCTGCGTCCTCGATGTGCATCTTTGTGCCGTTCCGACATTGTGCGCAAAAGTGGAAAAAACTGTTTGAAAGTCACCTTAGCGTGACACGTGAGAGACGTGCAGACAGTCGGTGATATGAAGAACGGGGAAAGGTCATGCACGACGGAGGATGCTCTTCTCGCTACGTCTGCTGCCAGCTGCCATCAAACAACGCGACACAATCACGCAAAATACAGTAGAGCGTTCCAGGGAGCGCTGACATCACTGATCCAATGTCAGCTTGCGTTTTGGTGAATTGTGAATATTCATGCTGATGATCTGTTGGGTTGCCATAGAAGCGAGAGCCCACCTTGCTTAAAGGGGAATGTTCTTCCCCATTCTTAAAACTAACCCCTTCCCCCAAGTCAGGGCTACAGGTAGCAAGGCAAACCCCGCTGCTGAACCGAACCGCGTGCCTGCATTAAGTCCTCATGTCGTCGGTCATAGCTGCGTAATTTGCGCACAAAATTTCTGCCAAATCGGAAAAATTCGGTTATAATCTGGGCAGATTTTTCTTATCTGTCTTGAATACATATGAAATAGTTGTTACTTGTGGTTTTGTGTGTGAACCCAAGCATGCATGAAATTCAGTTTTGTGTTTACAATAAAGAACTCTTAATCTCTCTCTCTCTCGCGCGCGCGCACACACACACACACACACACACACACACACGTGTATCTGCGTGATCTCACAAATGCTTGTTACCATCAAAGCTTTAGTTCACTTATTCAATTATAAAAGAAATAACCAGTCTGGAGACATTTCAAACCCTAAAGCAGACGCAGCTGTGTATCAGGTCCTGTTATCACGTTTCATTTTTAATTTCTCTGCTGATAATTTATTCTTGTCACTTAGATTACAGAACTGGGGCACCAACTAAGCAAGGTAGCCCTGATCAGCAGCGAAATCAGCTTCAGTTTATTAATCATCGTGACAAATTAGTAATTTGAACCCTAAACCCTTGCTGAAATGCTCACTAGAATAAATGAGATGGCACAATATAAATTGTCAACTGACTGATTCTTTGTGGATAGGCTTTGGTGGACTCGTGTTTCGGATTATTCACAGATGTGAGACATTAGTGCTGCTGTAATGTCTTCTGTTTTATTGTGATTGAAGGATCTACATTCAATTCAGTTCAATTCAAGTTTATTTATAAAGCGTCAAATCAGGACCAGTCGTCTCAAGGACCTTCAGTAAAAATTCCAGTACAGGTCAGGTCATTAAGCCAATCAATAACAAGTTTCCTATATAAGGAACCCAGCAAATTGCATCAAGTCACTGACTAGTGTCAGAGTCTTTACAGCAATCCTCATACTAAGCAAGCATGAAGCGACTGTGGAGAGGAAGACTCCCTTTTAACAGGAAGAAACCTCCAGAGAATCCTGGCTCAGTATAAGCAGCCATCCTCCACGACTCACTGGGGATGGAGAACACACACACACACACACACACACACACACACACACACACACACGCGCATACACACACACACACGTTTCTATGGTTATATTGTGATTGCTTAGTAAATATTCTATTTGGTGAAAGATAAACTTTATTGTATTTCCTAGTGGATCTATAATTAAACGGGTAAAATAGTAGTAGCACATCCAACGTCAGGAAAGCAAAAAGTTATTATCAGGAGAGAGAGAATGTTTAAGTGGTTAGCAGCAGTGTGCTAGCCGATGGCCCCCTCCATGAGGCCACCACAGCTCAGCAGAACATCGTTGTAGCTTCTTCTGGGGAGAAAAACACTTAAGAGAAAAAATAAAGTTAACAGCTGAAATAGCAGGAAATAATACAGTTAAAGAGCAGATTGTAGAAGAAAGCAGTAGAGTGTGGAAAGTGGTCAGTGTGTCCTCCAGCAGTCTAAGCCTATAGCAGCATAACTACAGAGATAACTCTGGATAACCTAGCCTTTTAGATGGAGGCATGTTGGAGGCAGGACAAGGGAGAGCCGTCTTTACCGACTGTACACTCCACCTGGAAAGACGGGGGAAGATGTAGCAATGTGAGCATCCTGTCACAGAGTCCCAATTGATGATGCGCCCTGGCTACTTGAACAAGGGGATGTCGCTTTGGCTGACTTGGTAAGTGCGCGTGACTCTCATCTGGGAGTCTGGGGATCAAATCCCACCTGGGCCCTCGTTTCTCCACCTTGCCACACGTGCATAAATGTTAGTTTATGCTGCAGTGTAACAAGTTATTTTTAGATGACAGGCACATAGAGAAGTACAAACTTTTTCATTATACAAAAACACTTTCTTGTCCAGAACAATTCAGAGCCTCCACAGTATGTAGAGTATGAATGACGTTATTCTGAGCACATTTTGTCACTGATATGATGGGATGTTGCAGTTTATTCATTTTAACTGATTTAATTATTTTTAATTAGAAAATCTAGTTTCCCCACCCAGCTAAGTTTTTCATTTGCATGGGAAATATTTCATGAAATTATTACAAAAAGAACAGAAAATTAAAAATCACCTTTTTTTTTTTTTTACAAGAAGCCTCAAGCCATCTGATTAATGTGCCACAGCTGTCAGACCTGCCAACTTTTCCAAACGTGCACATGTAGAAAATATTACTAAACAGATAATACGTAAAAACTAGCATATAAAATAACTGGAGTAAAAAAAGATCCAGTTTTATAAATAAAAAAAGATCAACCCAAAGCACAATAATTACAACATAGTCTCACATACACTAGAATTACAGTGAAATGTTAAATAGAAAAGACATTTTAATTAAATAAAGTTAACCCCCAAATAGAAAGTAACCTGAAAACCTTCAAGCCACATAATGTCAGTGTGAACAGGTAGCAGCACAGCTAGCCACCAACAGAGATGGAAACTACTCAGACTTGGAAATTAAAACGATATGGACGGCTCGTCCCACAGATTAAACAAGTGGGAGGAAAGTCTTTCAAGGTAAATTCGATTTATTTACCTTTTAATTGAGTTTATAAGCCTGAAAAACGTCATTTAAGCTAACGTAACGTTAGTTAGCTTGTGATTTGTTAGCTAGCAGCTAAACATGAGCTAACTAGCCACTAACTCGTTTGTTCAGACATTAAGATGAATTAAATCACGTCATTTTTGTGTTCATCCGGTCGGTTGTTCACTTTGGTATTTTTAAGGATTCGCCTGCTAGCCTCACAATTAAATGTGTTTTTGAATTCAGTTCATAAATGATTAATGACCCGCTCGTGCAGCGCACGCACACACACGCACACACACGCACACACACACACACACACACACACACACACACACACACACACACACACACACACACACACACACACACACACACACACACACAAACAACCCACGCTTTTGTCAAGGAAAACTACGTTGTTGTACTCTTATATGTATATTATTAATAGTGATTCAGGGTTTATTCAGCATCTTCACAGAAAATTACATCAAGTTTGTTTTGTAAACAGCGTGTATATAATATATTGTGGCGGTCTGCGCCGCCCTCTAGCAGGGTTTGTGTGAAGCAGCAAAGAAGAGTGACAGGTAGCAGACATAGAACACTTTTAGTAGCCTGATGGCTCCCCTTTTCATCCCCCCACACGTACATTTAACTCATGGTGCCAACAGGCACCGGATAAGAACAACACAGCATGAACTCTGAACTGAAACAAACAAGACTAACATAACCCCGAATAATATAACCCTCAGAACACCACAAACTGAATAAACAACCCAAATTTACCTTGCCCCCAAAGCCAATGAGGGTCCATGAGCTCTGGAGTCGTACGCCCTCTTCTGGCGAGCTCCAATCACTAGCAGGGTGGTCCGGGCCAGCTGGTGGACTTCTTCCATCCGCTCCTTTAGGCGTCACACATAATCCAGTTCGGGCCCCCCCACAATCTCTGGTTCTGGAGCCGGCCCAAACTCCAGATCCACCGGCGTCCGGAGCTCCCTCCCGAACTTCAGAGCCGCAGGAATGCTCTGGCTGGACTCTTGCACCGCAGTGCGGTACGCCCACAACACCATAGGCAAATGTAAATCCCAGTCTCTCTGATGTTTGCTGGTGAGGATCGCCAGCTGAGTCGCCAGAGTGCGGTTAAACCGTTTCACCAGCCCGTCACTCTGGGGATGCAACGGAGTGGTTCTAGTCTTTGTCACCCCCAACCGCCGGCACACCTCACCGAACAGCTGGCTCTCAAAGTGTCTCCCCTGATCGCTGTGCAGCTCCTCAGGTACTCCAAAAGGAGAGAACATCTCATCCACCAACCGCTGAGCTGTAGATGCAGTGCTTTGATCCAGCATCGCGGCATCTTGTGGCCACTTGGTGAAGTAGTCTATGGCTACAGAACGTAGCGATTCCCAGCCTCTGTAGTGGGAAAGGGCCCGAGGATGTCCACCCCGACACGCTCCATTGGTGCTCCAACCAGTTACTGTCGTAGTGGCCCCCTGGAGCGCTGAGTAGGCCCTTTGTGGCTGGTGCAGACGTCGCAGCAGTGAACGTGGTGTTCCGCGTCCTGACGGCAGCCCGGCCAGCAGAACCTCCGCCAGAGCCGTCGCACCGTTTTGCTGTTGCCAAAGTGTCCCATCCCCGCTGCCCCATGAACCCAGTAGAGGACTTTTGCTCGAAGGTTTCGTGGCACCAGCAGCTGCAAGCGGTACATCCCTCCTCCCGGTGCCTGCCAGCGCCGATATAGCACATCTCCATGCAGCTCCAAGCTGCCCAACTGTGAGTGCAGGTTCTTTAATTCAGCCCCACTCGAGGATACGGCGGGCCACTCTGGTCACCGGGCATCCCGAACCCAGGTCCTCACCTCCGCCAGAGTTGGATCAGCCTCCTGCTGATCTTTTAGTTCCTCCATGGAGAACAACTTCCTTTCCTGTTCCTCGGTAGCTTCCACCACTGCAGCCGACGGTTCTTGGTGCTGCTCCCTCGCTGCTGCTGGAACAGGTTCTGGTTCTCGCTCTTCCTGTCGGAGACAGTAATGACACTCAGTCACTAAACATGGGTGCCGGGACAGCGCGTCAGCATTAGCATGCTAGCGACCGGGGCGGTGCTGGATCTCAACGTCATACTCCTGCAGAATCTCCAGCCACCTGTCCCTCCGGCTGTTTAAAGTTCAATAGCCAGGTGAGGCTAGCATGATCAGTCCGAAGCTTGAACTTGGTTCCCAGCAGGTATGGCCAGAAGTGTCTCACAGCCAAAACCAACACTAGCAACACCCGCCTGGTGACGCCGTAGTTCCTCTCGCTCCGACTGAGACTGCGGCTGTAATAAGACACAATTCTTTCTCCATCTTCACCTGTTAGGTAGAGCATGGCTCCCACTCCCACGTTGCTAGCATCTGCATCCACAACAAACGGTTGGGCGGGGTCCGGATATGCCAGAACCGGCGCGTCAACCAACGCCATCTGGAGCTGGTGGACAGCTGCAGTGCACTCCTCACTCCATTTGAACTGCCAGCCCTTCTCGTCTAACCGATGCAGAGGGCTAGCCACAGTAACAAATCCTTTCACAGAGCGGCGGTAGTAGGAGGCCAAACCCAGGAAGCTCCGCAGCTCCGAGACGCTTCTTGGCACAGGCCATTCCTTCACAGCAACAACCTTAGCAGGGTCTGTTGTTACTCCCTGCTCGCTGACGACATAGCAGAGGAAATGGGTCTGGCGAGTGAGCAGCGTGCACTTAGCAGGATTTAATCGCAGCCCAGCCTGGCGAATGGCGACAAAAACCTCCCTCAGGTTGCGAACAGCGTGCTCAAAGTCTTTAGCATGCACGAGCGAGTCATCCAGATAAACCACACAGCAGTTGTGAGGAATCTTCTGCAGAACTCGTTCCATCTGTCTTTCATAAGTAGCCGGAACGTAGCCTAACCCAAACGGCATCACTCGAAACTGCCACAGTCCCTGTCCAATCGTGAACGCCATTTTGGGTTTAGCCACCGGCGCTAGGGCTGTCGCGGTAACCGCAAAAATGAAATATCGCGATATGAAGAAGCCCACCGCGCTGCATCATGGGCCACCGCGATTACTGAACTTGGATCAACTCAATGATGCATGTTGAGAAGGATGGCTGCACTGGTATCAAAACGAAACGTTACTTCGCTCTTTTGGGAGCACTTTGGTTTTCAGTACGTCAGCTGCTGCGCAGCCAGAGTCCTTGGCCGAGACGGAGCTGCCACCAGCGGCAAAAAATAAATAAATAATAAACTCTCGGAGACCTCCTGAAGTCCCGGACAAGCACTGCTTCTGCAACCGTCCCGAAGAGAGTTTGAGCCGAGCTGGAGCTCACTCGCTACCTGCAGGAGGAATGCATCGACCCTAAATACACCCCCCTGACATGGTGGAGCAACAACCGGGAGAGATTCCCTTTGCTCGCCAGAGTCGCACGCAAGTTGAGTTCGGAAGCGAGCGGGGCCGGACCGGAGCGGAGGAGCGGAGGGGAGCGGAGGTAGTGGAATTTGGGGTAAGTGCAACGAAAGCACCATCCGAGAGGGTTTTCAGTGTTGCTGGAAATGTTGCCACCCCTCTCAGATCCTCTCTCAAACCGTATATGGTTAACATGCTGGTTTTCCTTGTGGGTAACAAGGACGTGACCGAGCTATAAATCACCGTCATTCGTGTGTGTGAAAGTGAAATGATAGTGCCCCGCGCCCGGTACATGCAATTTTTTATGCTTGATTTTAAACAACTAAACAAAATGGGGACTTGTTTCTTATTTGTTAGATGCTGCAGCCAAATTTGCATTTAAAAGTTTAACCTTCTCCTGAATTTTGTTGTTTTTAAGTTCAGTCGGACTCCAACTATCGATCGGCTCCAAAGAGGTTCTGGCAAACTGTCCGGCGCCTCAGGAGAGGAAGGCAGCAACTCGCTCACACTGTTTACAGTGGGGATGGGGAGCTGCTGACGTCAACTGAGGCTATAGTCGGACGGTGGAAGGAATACTTTGAGGAGCTCCTCAATCCCACCAATGCGCATTCCGAGGAGGAACCAGAGCTGGGAGGCCTGGGGATGGACTGTCCGATCTCGGGGGCAGAAGTTGCTGAGGTAGTCAAACAACTACACAGCGGCGGAGCCCCGGGGGCGGATGAGGTTCGTCCTGGGTATCTCAAGGCTATGGATGTTGTAGGGCTGTCATGGTTGACACGTCTCTACAACATTGCGTGGTCATCGGGGGCAGTTCCTAGGGAGTGGCAGACCGGGGTGGTGGTCCCCATCTTTAAGAAGGGTGACCTGAGGGTGTGTTCCAACTATAGGGGTATCACACTCCTCAGCCTCCCTGGAAAGGTCTACGCCAAGGTACTGGAGAGGAGGGTCCGATCGATAGTTGAATCTCAGATAGAGGAGGAGCAATGTGGTTTTCGTCCTGGCCGTGGAACTGTGGACCAGCTCTATACCCTTGCAAGGGTGATGGAGGGGGCATGGGAGTTTGCCCAACCAATCCACATGTGCTTTGTGGATTTGGAGAAGGCTTATGACCGTGTCCCCAGGGGCACCCTGTGGGGGACGCTCCAGGAGTATGGGGTGGGTGGCTTTCTGTTAAGGGCCATTCAGTCCCTTTACCAGAGGAGCGTGAGTTTGGTCCGCATAGCCGGTAGTAAGTCGGACCTGTTCCCAGTGAGGGTTGGACTCCGCCAGGGCTGCCCTTTGTCACCGGTTCTGTTCATCACTTTTATGGACAGAATTTCTAGACGCAGCCGTGGTGTGGAGTGTGTCGAGTTTGGTGGCAGGAGAATCTTGTCTCTGCTTTTTGCGGATGATGTGGTCCTCCTAGCTTCATCCAGCTCTGACCTTCAGCTCTTGCTGGGTAGGTTCGCGGCCGAATGTGAAGCGGCTGGGATGAGGATCAGCACCTCCAAATCTGAGACCATGGTTCTCGACCGGAAAAGGGTGGCTTGCCACCTCCGGGTCGGGGTAGAGGTCCTACCTCAAGTGGAGGAGTTTAAGTATCTCGGGGTCTTGTTCACGAGTGAGGGTAGGAGGGATCGGGAGATCGACAGGCGGATTGGTTCGGCGTCTGCAGTGATGCGGACGCTGAGCCGATCTGTCGTGGGGAAGAGGGAGCTGAGCCAGAAAGCCAGGCTCTCGATTTACCGGTCGATCTACGTCCCAATCCTCACCTATGGTCATGAGCTTTGGTTAATGACCGAAAGAACGAGATCGCGGATACAAGCGGCCGAAATGAGTTTCCTCCGTAGGGTGGCCGGGCTCAGCCTTAGAGATAGGGTGAGGAGCTCGGACATTCGGGAGGGACTCGGAGTAGAACCGCTGCTCCTCCGGATCGAAAGGAGCCAGTTGAGGTGGTTTGGGCATCTGGTCAGGATGCCTCCTGGACGCCTCCCCGGGGAGGTGTTTCGGGCATGTCCTGCCGGCAGAAGGCCCCCGGGTCGACCCAGGACACGTTGGAGAGGTTACATCTCCAATCTGGTCTGGGAACGCCTTGGGGTCCTGCCGGAGGAGCTGGTGGACAAGGCCGGGGAGAGGACGGCCTGGAGCTCCCTAATTGGGATGCTGCCCCCGCGACCCGGACCCGGATAAGCGGAGGAAGACGAAGACGAAGACGAAGACGGACTCCAACTGTCTGACAAACAAACGTTACTGCGATCTGTGTTGTTACTGCCCTTTGATCTGCATTCAGTAAAGCGTTATAAAAGAAGGCACGGCAATTTTTAACCTTTTTTAAATGTGTAAACATTATGTTTAGATAGTACTGCAATAAAAAAAGGACTGCAATAATATCGCATACCGCAATATTAAGCCACCCTGAATCACCGCAGGGGGAATTCCTCAACCGCGACAGCCCTATCCGGCGCCAGCTCCACCTGCCAATATCCACTGCGTAGATCCAAGGAGCTGAACCAGCACGATCCAGCTACATGATCTAATGCGTCGTCAATGTGGGGCAGGGGGTATGAGTCTTTGCGCGTCAAAGTATTAAGCCTCCGGTAATCCACACAGGGTCGCCATCCACCCCCTTCTTCTTCACCATGACAACGGGCGCAGCCCAGGGGCTCTCTGATGGCTCAATGACCCCATTAGCTGCCATGTCTCTGATTAATTCTTCTGCTGCTTGGCGTTTGGCTAATGGCAGGCGATGAGGGCGGAGCCGTACAGGAGCAGCGTCTCCTGTGTCGATGCAGTGTTGGACCAAGCTAGTCTGGGTGCAATCCTCTTCTCGAGCAGCAAAGATGTCCCCAAACTCTCACAGTAATTGGCCCAACTGCTCTCGTTGCTCCGAGCTGAGGTGTTCCCCGCTGCGTTGTTCCAATGCCTCCATAGCAAGCATGGCCTCAGGTGACGGGGCCACAGTAGCAGTAACCGGCTTTTGTCCAACCTCCAGGCTTTCGCAGTCGTCTTCGAGCGACTGGACGACTCTGATATATATATATAATTACAGTCCTATTGGATAATAACTGAACGGGTGATTATCTTTCAGCTGTAACAAGTTATTAAACCCAACTGGTCCAATAAGTTAGCCTGGCCTGCCAGACTCCATATTTGACTACAGCTAAAAAGCGACAGCGTTGCGGACGTCACACACAGCGACACTCAGTTTCTCATAAACAACGATGACAGCGGCGGAGTTCGCTGCAGCTCTTTCCTCTGTTCTAAATGACTCAGATGTCTTTAAAACCACAACAAGTAGAAGCACTAAAAGCCTTTCTTCTAAAAAACTAGAAGATGCTTGCACCGTTGCTAGACGCCTTTTTTTTTATACTACAGCTAAAAAAGTACAGCGTCGCGCGGTACAAGCAGAATTTCCGTCTTTTTTCTGATCGGATATTTGTGAGCTGCCTAGTCCCGCCCCTCATGCCTTTCTGCCTGTGAGTTACCAGGCTCTTTCTCTGTGAAGAATCAAACAGATGACGAGTCTGGCAGGCCAGGCTACCAATCATTTCTTAAACAACCAGGTGGAAAGTCACATCTGTTGGTGGAGAGGGGTCAGATCATTGGCATCAAGCAGAGAAAACATCGAAGGAGATGCAGAAACGACTAAAACTGGGTTCAGAACTGTCCAACGTTTTATTAAACTGGTCGGATGAGCCCAGTACTTATAAAAAGTTCAAAATAGCACCAGCATTTATGCAGAGATTTTTGTATCTTTGTAACTGTTCTGAGAATCATGTTTGCTATCTTTTTAATAACATGTTTTCTGAATGATTGATTTTATTTTTCTTACTTTTTCTATGACCAGATGTTTGAGTCGAACAACAACAAACCCGACATTGTCCTCACTATGTTGGAATCCGGATATTTACTGATATCACAAGGACAAAAGAGCTTGGTAAGACAATGGTTTTGCTGGTATGTTTGTTGTTTTAATATTTATATTTCTAAAGGTTGAACTGATGCACACAACAGAAGATTAACAGGTAACATCTAGATGATGCTACTCTGCCTGAGACTTCCCTTTTAGAGCTGTTTCTGTTACATACTATAAACTTTCTGTCTTTAATTTCTTTAAAAATGAAATTCATTTCTAAAATCAAAAACATTTTCCATATATACTTTATTGATTTTAATTGTGACCAAAAGAGTTTTCTTTTCTTGTGAAATGGCAGTTTACAAAGCAATACCTATGGCACATAATGTTGCATTTTAGTTGCATAAATACACAAAATCACAGATTTAAAGGTAAACCATGTAATAGATCTACAGTGAAATAATCACTAAAAGGTCAATGTCTCATGTTGGAAGGAAGGTTACATTGAAACAGATCTTTTTCTGGGGTTTGTCAGTTTTTCTCCTTTCAGAAAGCTAAAGAGAGACTTAAACTTTACACTCTGTGAACCCGATCCTAAGCCAGTAAGAAGGCCCAGAAGTGACCCAGAAGTTATTTCTTATACCCCTAAGAAGCCATGGCAACCTTTTGTTTTACTCTTAATATTGGGTGAATACGGCTATTTAACCATTATTTAACCAGATAAGACGAATGAGAACTCATTCTCATTTACAACGACGGTCTGGCCAAGAGGCAGCAGCAACAGAAACGTAGTTAGCTTTACACCAAAGAAAAACAGATAAGATGAAAACACTAGATAAAAATAAGATAAAACAGTTAGACATAAAGGCAAAGGACTGTTCTCATATACAATATGTACAAGCAGTCAAAACAGACTTAGCAAGAGGCTAACGCTGAGCTAACAATGCTAGTGGTGATTAAGAAACAAATAGTTGTCTTTAAAAACATCTCAAGCTACTTTTTGTATGAGCAAAACCTCAATACTACAGTGAAATGTATTTATCTACTTATCAACACAGTGTATGACATGTCTTCTAGAATCTTCTGGTGCTAACTTAGCTGTAGCAGTAGCTGGCAACTGCCATGAAACTTAGAGCAATAGTGAGAAAGTCACTTGTTTGTTTTAAAGAAAGGGCTGCAGTACACAGATTTGACCACAGGATGTCATTCTTACATAATGTACCTTTAAATGTGAATGCGGAGCCTAAGACATGCCCATCTACTTCCAGACCATGGGTTCCCAGCAGTAAATAAAATTGAATGCTAGTCAGTGGGGCTGTAAAAGCTATTTTCTAATCCCGTTTGTTATGTGCTGTGGATTTCACATATGATGTCCGTGAACTTTAAACACTGATATAAAGACAAAAGTTGTGTTAGGTTTTGTGTGAAAATACGTCCAGGACTATTAATGCGCATCACCAAAATTACGTCATTGAACCAGACACGGAGAAGAGCAGAGGAAAAATGGCTGTAAGTTTAGTGAAATTCAAATCCTTCCTTCAGGAGGAAAGAACCACCATAAATCTAGTCATGTGGTAAGTAGCAGCTACGCTAGGGGGGAGGAGCTTATGTGGTGATGTCATACATGTGACATACCGACATCTGATTTGTAGTCATAGTAATTACCAGTGGTGGCTGGTGAAATTTTTTTGGGTGAGCCTTATTTTTGCAAGTCAGTTTTTCAGATGTGCTAACCAAATATCACCACTAGGGGATGCCAAATTACCATTCTTATGTGTCACACAAATTGAACCCGATGGACCCGGTACCGGGTTCATGAGCACTTCCAGCAACAAAGTTGTTCCAAAAACACGCTTAATATTCGTCGACATGAATAAAAAGCAAAACTAAGATAATTTCAGAAAGTCAGAAGTGTAAATGCAGTCTTACCTTTGCTAGTTTATGGTCATAATAATCCGTGTTAGAGTAAAAAACATCCATTCGTTATATGTACTCAGCTACTCTACAACAAACAAGGAACAGTGACCTAAAAATGAGTAATTTTAATTTTTTTAAATATTTTGTGATTCCTGTCATCTTTTTGTTTCTGTGGCACTGTAGGGTTGGTGCACTAGAGCCCCCTATAGATGAGCCTTCACTGGTATCTCAAAGTACGTAACAAGCGTGGTCCAAACACACATCATTACTTTTCATTTAAATTGTACAGCATGTGTGTGATTCAGGGCGTAAGACAAAAATAAAAAAAAGAATATGCATGAACTAGAACAAAATATTGATCCAGATAATAACTTTTTGGTCATCTAAACAATAGCTGCTTTTATTATATGGATGATCAGTTAAACAGTATACTTACCCTTGAGCAAGGTTTATCTATTATCCATTTTAACAGTAGAAGCCTGTATGCCAATCATGAAAATATTACAGAATATTTTAAACTGTTCAAAAAATAATTTGATGTCATAGCTGTATCAGAAACCTGGTTGAAACCTGAAAAAGGAATAGATTTTGATTTGGATGCAGGGTTTCCCTTACATAGGCATAGCCGTGGCGGCCCGCCATGGCTGAAATCTTACCGCCACGCCTACAAGATCCCACGTTTTATTTATTTATTTAGCGCTGTTTCCCGAAGAAGCAGCGGGAACTACTATGTTGTCGCTTGTGATCACAGCCGGCCGGCAGCAAGAAGAAAGGAGCAGGCAGAGCAAGGTGCAGTTACAGCATAAGTAACTGAGTTTAAAATTAGAAAGGTAGCAGTGGATATAATGCTTTTTGGTTTACATGTTTCAGCAGCATTAAGATAAACGAGTGTTGACGATCTAGACAGGGTTTCCTCCAGTGCTTATTAGGCCAGGTTCTCCTCCCCCATCAGGCTAATCATCACTTATTCATGTAAAATTTATTTATTTTTTCATGTCTGACTTTAACCGCATCTAATACTGTATTACGGCGTGAGCGCAACAGCGATAACTTAAGATCGATGCGTGAGCAGCGTGAGAGGTCGGGTGTTTTCATTTGAACCCTTAAAACCTCCAGCAGGCTACGCTGCACTATTAACGTGTTAGCGCTGCGCGCAACGTGACATGTCTCGGAGAAAGCGTAAAAACACGTTGGACGCTCTTCTGAAGCGGGAAAATAACACTTCTTCTTAAGCAGAGCACGACGTCGCCTCGGCTCGTTCACGGCCGAGGCGGTACTGGACTGGGCTCGATAACTGACCCAGCACAGCCACTGGGTCGTTGGAGCTGCCCTGTGACTGCCTGATGGAAAACCAGCAGGTTTTATCAGACTCGTAACGTTTCTTGTTTTTGCTGGGGACCCCCTGTATTTTACCGCTCCCTCCTGCAGTCTTCCCCTATTAACATTTAAAATGATTCTGTAAATTCGTGTATCAATAGAAAAAATCTCTGCCTCTGCCAGCTGCAGTAAATGTAGTTTCCAAATAATAAATAAGAGGTGCATTCATCTGTGGATCTCCTTTGATCCGCATTGGTGATATTCTCAGCACCAGAACAGGGAAGCAAAGAAAGATTCCTGAGTTTGTTAGTAATTTTATTCATTAGGTGGATCTGACCTGTGCTATTTTTCTCTGAAATGAGATCAAATCAGTGCTTCTATGGGTTGTCTCCTATCTGCACTGGAAAATTTTACTTTATTTAGAGACGTGTCATAATTTCTCCCCAAGACACCCCCCCCGCCACAGCTGGAAAAATTCCTAGGGGAAACACTGGGATGGATATATATTCAATTATATGAACAGGAAAAACAAGGTGGGAGGAGGGGTTGTGCTGTACATAAACAATACTTTTTGTTGAAGAGTGGTGGAAAAGATCACATTTACAATTGATGATACTATGGAATGTATAACTGTGGAGATAAATATGGAAAAACATAAATGTGATAGTGAGCTGTGTCTACAGGGCACCAGGATCTTGTATTGACATTTTTATGAGTAATATGGAAAATATATTAGCTCAAAATAATCAAGGTCATGTTCCTCTGTGGAGACTTTAATATAGATCTGTTGAACTTAAACAAACACAACATGACAGAGGAATTTATAAATACAATGCTCAGTATGACTTTTTATCCATTGATCACAAAACCCAGTAGAATAACTATAGTTCAACTTTAATTGTCAATATATTTACCAACGATATGGAAAGCACATTAATCAGTGGACTAATGATAAATGACATCAGTGACCATTTGCCAGTGTTTACAATCTATGATTGTGAGTGTGAAAGGATAACGAAGACATACCAAAGGAAATATATCAGACTGAAAACAGAAGAATCGATAGAAGCATTCAACAGTGATTTGCAAGCTCAAACCTGGTCACAACTGTATAATGAAACTAATGTCGACAGGGCATATGAATACTTCCTAAATATATTTAAGTCACTTTATGATAAACATTGTCCAATATATACATATAATATACTAAAAAAATGAAACCCAACAAAAAATGGATCACAAAGGGACTGTTAAATGCTTGTAAAAAGAATATTCTCTATAAACAGTATATAGCAAATTGAACGATAGAGGCAGAACAAAGGTACAAGAAATATAAAATATTGACTACTGTAATGAGGGTATGTAGGAAGAAATATTATACAAAATTATTAAATGAAAATAAAAACAATAGTATGGCATATGGAAATTATTGAATGACATTAAGAAAAATAAGGCTAGTTATAATTATCCAGAATGTTTTATTGATGGAAATAGTTACAAACAACAGAAGTCTAGTGGTGGAAGGGTTCAATGAGTTCTTTGTGAATATTGGACAAAGGCTGGCACAAGAAATTGAAGAGAACCAGCCTAAAGATAGCAAAGCTATGGAAAACAATGTAGTAAAGAACTCCCACTCAGTGTTCCTTAGGGCAGTTAATACAATAGAGATGATAGGTACAGTAAATATGTTTAAAAGTAAGACATCTACTGATTGGAATGGAATAGATATGCTAATAGTCAAGAAAGTTATTAATAGTGTCGCAGATCCACTGACCCATATCTGTAATCTCTCATTTTCATCTGGTGTATTCCCACAAAAAATTCAAATAGCTGAAGTCATACCATTA